CCCCCAAGCCAGTTCTTAACCATCGCGCCACTCGGCCGGCCCAAATTTCATAATTTTTAAAGCAGCTTAGGCAGCCTGGTGTAGTGGAAAGAATATTGAGTTATACAGACCTAGACTCATTCTTGGTCTTTCCATTTATAAGATGTGTGACCTTGGGCAAGTTATTTATCCTGTACATTGTTGGTTTCTCATTGTGAAATGCTGATCCTAAAGGGTGGTTGTGATAATTAAATGAATTTTATAAAGTGCCTGTGCACTGTAATAGTAGCTCTAATTTACTGATAGTTAAGCATGAACAGTGTGTTTTCCTTACCTTTTTACTAAATTCCCGTGCTGTTGTGTCAAGACCTTTTAAAGCTTCTCTGTGTAAGACTGATTTCTCCTTTCTTTGCTCTTTCACAATATGTTGTTGTGACAGATGTTTTAGAGCTGAAACATTTATTTCATGCTTACGTGTTCTTCCTTAGTCTGTAAGCTTCTTGAGAGCTAAAAACAGTGACCATGCTTTGTCTCTGTCTCTCATGTTGCTTAAGTCCTCAGTGGCTGTGTGTTGAATAAATGTTTGAAAAAATGATTTTTTTTTCAGAGTATCTAAGGAATAGTGGTTTCTGATTAAATTAACAAGCAATGAATATATAACTTTTATTTGTATTTTTAGTGGACATTGAGGTGATATAAATTGTAATTGAAGTAATTGCTTTTATTTACATTGTAATATTACATACTGAATACATGTAATATATTTGTTAATTTATGCTAATTGTTCATAATCTCCAAACTTACTTTTAAAACCAAATATAGTTTCATAATCATTCATCTGTTGAATATATTCTTTCACATATATTTGTAGTTGTCATCAGATTTCTCTTAGCAGAACACACTATTGGGCATCCCATTTTCGGGTACCCCCTCTCATAAGAGAGCTGTACTTTTGCTTCAATAAAAATCTTTGGTGCCAACTTGGGCCAGTGAAGCAACGTCCTCCACAACTAGACTGAAGAACAAAAAAAACAACAACTTGTCTGTTCCCCTACCCTTAGTTCCCCAGTGCTAGTCCCACCCCCCCAACTCCCCAATAAAAAGTCTTTAAAAAAAATTTTTTTGCTCCTCCAAAAAAACAAAAAAAACCGAACACATTATTAATTGTTTTTATTTGATCAAAATGTTTTGAAGTATATTCCCATTAAAGAGACAGGAAATTATTTCAGGGAAGAAAATTTTCTGAAAACAGGCAGTTAGAATTGGTTCAACTTCAGGTTTCTATTACTATTCTTATTGTTTCAATTATTTGTATAGATGATTTTACTTGTATTATGTAGTAATTTTCTTTTAGTTATATAATTTCTGAATATGCCCTTTATAAAGTAGGGGCAGATATAAATGAAACTAAAAACTAAGGCCGTGTATTTTCCTTATCAGGTACTCCTAATGCTAACACACATTATGCTGTGTTATTGTTACAAAATATCTTTAAAATCTAAGTGTCCATTGGTGGATGAATGGATAAAGAACAGGTATTATATACAATGGAGGTGTATTGTGCCATTAAAAAAGAATGAAATCTTGCCATTTGTGACAACATGGATGGACTTCGGGGCATTATGCTAAGTCAGAGAGGGATAGACAACTATCCTATGATCTCACTTACATGTGGAATCTAAAAAACAAACAAAACGCCCCCAAACTCTTAAATATAGAGGTGGGTAGGTGTGGGGATTGGGTGACATAGGTGAAGGGGGTCAAAAGATACAAACTTCCAGTTATGAAATAAATAAGTCATGGGGATGTAATGTACAGCATGGTTACTGTAGCTAATAATACTGTATTGCATATTTGAAAGTCTTTAAGAAAGTAGGTCTTAAAAGTCTTTATCACAAGAAAAACAATTTCATAACTATTTATTGTAACAGATGGGAGAGAACAAAGAAGAGCAATATAACTTTCTTTAGCCAAAATGTATAGAAACCTAGGACCAACCAGTAGGCTTTTTAGGTTTCAGGATCTGAGGATGTTTGATTCAGCCATTCTTCTTAACACATTGAGGACGGGGCATTTAAATTGTTTAAATGCATGTTCCTGGGATTTAAACCATTTAAATCAACTTTTATACTGTGTTTCTTTAAAAATTTATAACAAATTCCTTAACTATTTTTGTGAACTGAAATTTTCAGGAAATACTCACCAAAGACCCTTGTAGTGCTTGAGGGTGTGATGCTTCTGGAAACATTCCCCCCTGTGGAGTGGCACTAAGCAGAACTTGCAGATGTACCGAGTTTCACTTCTTTTTTTTGGGCAGCACAAACGTGGCACCTCCTCGCAGGATATTTTCTTTTACCCTGTTCACTTCCAACAATTTTCTCTAGCACATGTTTGTGCATATCACCCAAAAGTCTCCCAGAGGGGTCTTCATGAGGCACATGAAGGGTTTGGGTTGATGTTCTTGGGCGTGCTGTTTCTGTGTTTGTTTTTTTCCATAAGAACTCTGTCTTTTTGTCATGGGTGTAAAGTGATTGAAATCTGAATGCTGACTAAATGCAGAGCAGAGCAACATAGGAAAATACAGAGCTGTTTGTTCTCTATATTTATCACAGGTCATTAACTAGGAGTGAGGTCACGTTTCTATAAACATTGGTCAGCAGGACCATTCGGAGAAAGGCTCCCATGTATTGCGTAGTTAAGTGTATGGTGCGTGGAAACCAACCGTGTGTTAAAAACACAGATTTGCATCCTCCGTCTTGCACAGCTGTAATGTATAGATGGAAATCTGTGTCACCGGTCCACAATGTGTTAAGCAGGAGTCCTTAAGCTGGGGTCATCAGAAACAGAGCAATCAGGGAATCCATGTACTTGCATGTGGAAAAATTACATTTTAATTTTTATTAATCTCTAACTCATATTAAGCATTTCCTTCAGTTAGGAAAGGTCTGATCCAGCCATCCTCCTTTTAACAACAAGCCATAGTAGTATTAGCAGTACTTTCGAGTTTATTATCAATAAAAATCATGGGTATCACAATTGCAAATATTTTGAAATATTGTTTATACTTGTCATTATTTTGAGACTTTTTTTTTTTGACTGAGCCATCCTGCTACCTGTTGGCAGCTCAGTGGCAGCTCANCAAGTATTTCATTTATTTTTTATCACATCCAGTTCTTGTTTTATTGATGTTATTTACTCTTCCATTTTTCTGAGGATATTAACATTAGCATTCCCTCTCTCTCTCTCTCTCTCTCTCTCTCTCTCTCTCTCTCTTTCTCTCAAAGTTATCTTTTTCCAGCTAATCTTAGAGGGTTTCTTCCTCCCTACACCCAATTTGGTCTTTGTCTTTCATATTAAATGCTTCCTAACTTCTGATGATCTTTAGCTGTCTGTTCATATTTAAAAGTAAGGGCCTAAAAAGGTGATTGGAAACGCAGTGTGTGCGACTTTGGTTTGTGGCGTTCTGTTTTGCTGGAGAACCCCTAGCATCAGCATATTTAGATCTTTGTCACCTTCCTAGTTAGCTGCAGCTTCTCCAGGGAAGACTCATTCCATTTCTTCGTGGCTGCCATTGTTCTGGCAGATAAGAAGTGTGAGAAGACTGGGGCTCCTGTTTATTATATACATTTTTACTCGAGCGTCTTGTTTTTAGTATGGAGCACTTACCTCATTTGTATCTGATGTCTCCAATCTGGAGACCTGTTTTATCCTGTCCAGGGAATAAACCTGTAGTGCTCCGCCGGAGTCAGTAATCAGTTAGGGCAGAAGATTTGAGGATCTCAATATTTCTTTGGCATACTTTCAACCAATTCTCCTGTTTTCTGCTTTACTTTTACTTCCATTTTCAAAGGTGTTGCCAGTTCACTGAGCTTGTTGGGACTCAGGTGTAAATCAGGTTGCTTTCCCCATTGTTGACTTTGAATTTAATTCTCTTGTGTTACTACTTATTCACCTGTTTTTTAGCTTCCAGTATTTTATTGCTATTATCTCATCTTTGTCCTCTTTCTTCTTGTGGATTTATACCTTTAAATTCTCTTTGCTGTTATTTTAATCAAAATTTTAAGTTTTGGGTGAGAGTACAGTGCTTTAGTCTGCCATTTTTAAACTGGAATTTGTATTCTCATATATATACTTTTTCTTTTTGTAACATGTATTAGATTTGCAATAAGTAAAATATATTATTTAAGAAGGTAAAAAGAAAAAAACTCAATCTCTTCCAAAACTACCATCTTGTGATAGGATCAGACAGCCTTTAAGTACCAATCTTGAACAGTGTGGTGGTTTCTTAATGAACAGTGGTTTGACTTTCTGTTCCTATACTGGTTTGCATTTCTACCTAACTTTTGTCATCTTATAGCAATTGAGATCTTATTCTAGATTGTAAGTTTCTTTGTGCAAGGATCATATCATGATCCCTGTGTTTTTTGAGAAATAAGTTATTTGAAATATCAGAAATGCTGGAAATATACCTAATGAGAATTGCGTTTTATTATGATCTGATTTCATAGGTTGAAGAATGCCTCATCTGATACAAAACAAATGCTTAAAAGTGAAACAGACTTGGATGTTACTGCTGATCTCAGAAAGAAGCTCCATCGGGCGAAGAAAGAAAAATTAGAAATAACAACTAAGCACAACGCAGAGGTAGGATGTGTTTTCCTCTCAAATAACGTTAGAAATAGAGTTTGATTATTTTAGATTCATTTCATATTACAAACTCTGTGTTTAACATTTATCACTATAACCTTCTTGTACTTACAAAGGGAATTGTAATAAAGAGCAGATGGGTTTTTTATACAGTGGAATTGTATAGGAGTGTTCAAGTAGAAATGGAATAAATTATGTGTATTTGTATGTTGTCTTAAATTTATTTTAACTAATGGGTTAAACTTGATTAAAATATTAATTGATGAATGCATTTGGTGACTAAAGGATTTGTAAATTAGACATTTTTGAAATATTAATGTTAGGTTCCTTATGGTTTCAATCATGGAACAATCTCTTAAACAAGTAGATTTGAATATGGAATTTTTAATCAGTGTAATTCATAAATTTTTTTAGTTTCTTTTTGTTATATTATTACATCTTTTATTAGTATGTGTATATATACATATATACAAATCTATATATTTTATATGTATATGTACATATTGCAAGGACAGTAGTTATCTGTCACTCTAAGTCATGAATTCTATGTTTATGTTTCTTCTGTCTGTTGTGGTTTTTTTTT